AAATCTATCTAACCCACCTACAAATCATCGAATCATAGTATTGATTCATCAATGAACTGGTTCTGAAGCGGCTGTCCAAAAAAATTTACTCGATGTTGTAAACGAGGTCATCGTGACAAAATACATTTCCTTGGTACCAGTATATGAATAAAAAAAATAAAAGACTATCGGATACGCATGTCTGACGAGCGGCAAGAACCGCGAAACTGGTGATGTGATTCCATTGGAAATTTTGTCCGGTTATTTGTATACTGTTTTTTGTAAAATGTATATAGACATATATAATATAATCAAACTCGTTCGACATCCTAACATTCGTCACATGTTTCTCCCAATTCTTTGTGTTCCGGGTCTCATTCACCGGATCGAATATGACATCAAACGATAGATACCTGATATAGTATCCACTTAAGTTCCTGCTTGTATTAATCCAACGTCACTAGAATAATAAATTTCTCGAGTTCGCAGATGGTTGTAAAATAATGAGGCCTCGGTAAAAAAAATCATTATATTATACTTATCAAAATGACTGTCATACACGACACAGGTATCCAAGAGTTTATATTTTCAGTGCTCTATTGATCCTTCTTTCTCATTGAGCACTGGATACTATTAGGCTTACGCTCAAACAGCATTTGCCACTCCCCTAACATCCCCTGGCAAACTGACAAACTAATTTATCCCTGTTTTTCGCAGGCGGAAAAAATTTTGATTACATTCAAATCGCAACTTTATGGTCAGCTTTCGAAGACCAGTTTTGGTTTTCTTGAAAATATTTTTTAGTTCGTTTGGACGAGGGATAATGCATGAATAGTTTTTAGCCACATAATTTATCAATTTACTTAGGCTGGAAAGTTTTCACAAAAAATATGCTATTTAGAATACTGGTATCGACTAGAATACATTTCTTCGTGGAAAAAGCACTCATTTATGAGAAAGAATGAACTTCCATGCCGTTTTGCTTGAATTACTTTCCAAAAATGAGCTGCAACTTTTGAACTATTACAAATTTTATTGCAACGCTCAAGGTCACGCCAAATCAGACGGTGATAGAAAAGAACTACCAGCATAGAAGTGGAAGATAAAGTTGGGAATAAATGCTCTTCACCCACAGCAATCAACATACAAGTATGATATTGGAATCTGGAATGTTTTTCCAAAATGAGAGTGGTATCGTACGAGTTTGATGAAAACATATATATATATATGTATATATGGGCAAAATAAATTCCGTGTGTCCTGGACTTGTACTCGTCGCTCATTCTGCTTCGGAAACTTCACAATAGTAGAGAGATTACTACTTACTACTACTACTATCATTACTTAACCCGATCAGATTGTTGAATCATTCCATACTGAGATGAAAGTTCAATATTCGCCAAGGGACCGTTCGAAGTGATACGGATACATTTACTGTTACATTATTGATTTCTTCTATTCGGAATACCTGTTATCCTTATTACACGTCGATCCGCTTGGTTATCAAAGGCATATCAACGGATACCGACTGTGTGCGTGTATGGATAAATCTACCTATCTAATTGTTCACATTTCTCGAGATCTCCGGCGATCTATTCCAATTCAACCACTTTGCTACCACACCCATTTCCGGTGGTTTCGTATCTATGGTCAGTTATTTTGCTCAGGCTTTTACGATATGCTATTTCTGTAATGGATCTCACTGGCACGGGCGACGTAAACTTTAAAATTGTATAGCCCTAAAGCACCCTGAAACATTACTCCACGATCACGGGCGTTTCTAAAGCAAAGGCAACCTTTGGTGGTGTGGATCACCTTTCAAATACGATTTGACAAAAGTGGCCCTTTGACCGACACGTCGCTAGTACGTGTGACGAACAGGCTCAGGCGAGTTCAAACAGTGATGTACTGGTATTTAAATATGGTGCCGAAGGAGTATATATATATATATATATAT